TTACAATATCATCAAATAAACTTGGGCAAAATATATTGAACCTATATAATCAGATACAATAGAGAGACTGAAAAAGAGAGAGAGAGAGAGAGAGAAAGAGAGAATGAGTAAGAGAAAGAGAGAGAGAAAGGGTGAGAGGGAAGAGAGAGAGAACGAGAAAGGGAGAGTGAAAAATAGAGAGAAAGATAGAGAGAGAGAGAGAGAGAGAGAAAAAAGAAAGACAGAAATAGAGAAAGGGTGAGAACGAGAGAGAAAAATGAGAAAGAGAGAGAGAGAGAGAGAGAGAGGAGGGGTCAGAGAAACAGAAAGAAAGAGGGAGAAAGAGGAGAAAGAAAGAGAGAGAGAGAGAGAGAGACAACTGGAGGCAACAGAAATGTGGTTCTACAGAAGGATATTGAGAATACCATGGGCGGAACGAGTAAGTAACGAGGGAGTCTGAAAGAAAATGGCAGCAGAAAGAACACTTAAACTCAAAATCAGGAAAAGATAACTAAAATTCCTTAGATATATAATGAGGAATGAAGGTTTGGAAAACTTAACTCTCACGGGGCAAGAAAGATATGGGAAGACAGCAACCCGATGTGCTTGTTTGAATGGATGGCAAAAACGTGCGTGTGTGTGTCTAGTAGGAAGGGGTTTTGTTAGCAAAAGGAGAAAAACCGCACCGCAAAGTGCCCAAAAGGGACAGGCAGTTTTGGAGAGCTATAATCGCCTATGTCCTGAAGGGATGTGGCATATAGAAAATGTCCAGTCAGCATTCGACAAAAACTGTTACACCGCTTAGTCAAATTTGACAATGTTCAGTCATGTCGATATGAACATCTGACCAAATGAGTAAACATTAGATTTTGGAGAGTGGGGTGGGGAGTTCCTCTTAGTCAGGCCGAGAACTTCGCATCAACCCTTGTTTCTCTCGCACACACACACACACACACACACATATATATATATATATATATATATATATACACACACACATATGTATGTGTGTTTATGTGTACGCATGCGCGTGTGGGGACACACACATGTAGAATATTGATGCGATCAAAACAACATGATCAGAGTGGAACAGATAGTAAGATAGGAAGAAGAGACGGCGGCGGACAAAGAAAGAAAGTGCGAAAATGATAGAGAGGGGAGAGAGAGAGAGAGAGGAGAATGTGGAGAGAGACTGTTTAGGGGGAACGGGTTTAGAGAAGTGCTTGAATCAGAGGTTGATTCGTTGGCGGCGATGTGGCTCTGGGCAAGCGTCGAGTGCGTTTGTAATTGAGATAAATGAAGACTGAAAGTGACAAGACATGACAAGTGCACCTCTAAGTTTCCAGTCGTTGGCTCTAACTGACATGGCCGTCAGTCTTTAGAGAATCAATCAGACGACATCGAAGTCGAGAGACAAGACGGGCGGATGGAATGAGAAGAAATAGGAAGGTGGGAGTGAAGGGAGGCAAGAAAGAGAATGATCAAGTCAAGGAAGAAAACAAAGAGATAAGGGCTGTCAGAGAAAAGAAGAGAAAGAGAGAGAAAGACAGACAGACAGGGTGGGAGGGAAAGAGAATATAAGGAAAGAAAATATGGATGTTTTAATTCAAGGAAAAAGAGAAGAAATGAAATAAAATGACAAAGACGTAAGAGATTACGGAGAGTGAAAATCAGAGAGAGAGAGAGAGAGAGAGAGAGAGAAGGAAAGAAAATATGGATGTTATAACGTAAGCGAAAACATGACGAACAATAAAATAAAAAAAAACAGACGTAAGAGATGAGAAAGAGGGGAAATCAAAGAGAGAGAGAGAGAAAGAGTGAAAAAAGTGAAAAGTAGGGAAAGAGAAAATCGAGAGAGAGAGAGATAAATCAAAGACAGGGTGGGGAGAAAGAGCTAGAAAGAGAAAAAGAAAGAGAAAAAGTAGAGAGAGATAAATCAGAGACAGAGGGGGAGAAAGTGATAGAGAGAAAGAGTGAGAAAAAAGAAAGAGAGAGAGAGAGAGAGAGAGTGAGAGACCATAACGAATGGCAATATGGATGTTATAACGCAAAGGAAAACATGACAATAAAATAGAGACAAAGACATAAGACATAATTTTAGAGAATAAAAAACAGATAAAGAGAGAAGGAAAATCAGAGAGAGAGAGAGAGAGAGAGAGAGTATAAAGATAGGCAGTATAGATGTTATAATATAAGAGGAAAATATGAGAAGCAATAAAATAAAAAGAAAGTAATAAAAAATAAATCAATGTAAATAAAAGAAGGTCCTAAAGGGAAATGAAACGCTGAAAAAAAAACTTGAGAGCAAAAGCATTGCGAAGAAAGGACAAGTGAGTTTTTGAATAGTCTGGCCAGCGTTCACAAGATCGGACTCAGTAGAATTGCGAAGTGTCTGAGAAATTGAAATATGACGAACTTATTTCGTAAGAATAGCTAGACTTGGAACAATAATCGATTAAAAAAAATGTCTACAAGATTTCCAACCTTAATTATTAGACTATCTAAATATGATAAAAGTTTCAGGACGTGAAATTTATGATTGTATAAATAAAAACCACGATAGTGCCACACCCAGTAAAGTGCTAACTTGCTAGGCGCTTGTTAAATATCGCGCTGTAATGAGAGCTTTAACTGTGGCAAAAAAATGGTCGCATTCCACCAATCTCAGCGAGGAGAATATACTTAACTTAAAAATTAACATTTGAAATGTCAATATTTTTTTTTTAATTTTAGCTGGAACACTGATTGTTTCATGAGTAAATACGGAATTATCTCTAAAACACAAGACGGTCTGAAAATACATAAACGTGGTTAAAAATTAAAGAAATAAAAGTGGATTGAGAAAGTAAATGAAATCTGGAGAGAAAAGCGAAAGTATGAGAGGAAATGCAAATATAAAAACTATGGTGAGGAGGAGAAAGAGAAGGAAAGGTTAGCCCGTTGATGCCCATCGTAAAATTCGGTTTTTAAATATAAAACTTAAAATAAAAATCTGGTATTAATTGCAGGTTTAAAAAAATACAGTTTTAATTATAGGTTTATAAAAAATATGATATTAATTATAGGTTTCTACCTATGGCATATTAAGGTCCACCGTCTTGTGACGTTAAGAAATGGAGTAAAGACAAATAAATAGAAGAAGAAAAAAAAAAAAAGCAAGTAGAAAGAAACCGTGAAAAAGTTAAAGAAAATAGGAAGGAAATACAAAGGAAGATAGGTAAATCATTAAATGACCAGAGACAGAGAGAAAAAATTCATACAAGAGACCCAGTGAGAGAGAGAGAGAGAGAGAGGAGTAGAAGAAAGGGAAAGAAAGAGTTATAGAAAGACCGTTCGAAAGAAAATTAGATAGAAAATAAATTACATGGTTCGAAAATAAAGATGAGATGATGAGTTAGGAATTTATGTAAGAAATGAATTGATTTTCAAAAGAAAAAGTTCGTTTTCAAAAGAAAAAGATGAGTACTCATTTGTATCAAATAAAAAGAGCAGCCTGCAATAGTCACACCAGTGGGAATGTTTCAACTTATAAAAGAGTCGTCGACGTTGTCGTCGTGGTCGTGGCCGTCGTGGTAGTCGTCGTCATTTTCTTCTTCTTCATCTTCTCCTCCTCCTTCTTCTTCGCCGCCGCCTCCCTTCAGGAGGTGGGCGATCATAGCTCTTTACAATTTATTGACTTTGTAGCCTTTAGTAAAGTATATCTTTTTACTATACGGTGTAACCCGGATATAAGAGAGTTGTCGGGACCGGAGAAGAAGTCTCTTATATCCGGGTTTCTCTTATATCCGAGTTTGGTCTATTTTGTTTAGGTAAGTATGGGAACACTTTGGGACCAGAGAAAATCTCTTATATCCGGGTTTCTCTTATATCCGGGTCTCTTATATCCGGGTTACACTGTATTTTCTATTCCCTGTCCTGCCAACCATTTATACAAGCTCGCTAAGGAGGTTATACGTTATTTACTCTCTCCCTCTTGCCTTCAATATACTCTGAGAAGTTCCAATTTCCCAAGCCGTCTTTCCTCATTATGTGCCCTAGAAATTTCAACTATCTCTTTCTGATGCTAAGTATAAGTGTCCTTTTTGTTTCCATTTGCTCTAAAACTTCCGTCGTTGCTCATGTGTTCAGTACATTCTCAGCATCCTTTTGTAGAACTACATTTCTGTTACTTCAAGTCTCTTCTTCATCTGTGATGAAATTGTTCAGCATTCACTGCTATATAAGAGGACCGATATTACAGAACATTTAAATAGTCTTTGATTTTGGTATGTCTAGTAATTCGCATGAAGAACTGTTTTTTTTTTTGTTTTTTTTTTAACTGATAATCATTCATTCTGTCTTCTTACAATTGATCTTTAGTCCTCTCTACATGCGTTCTTTTGCTACCGTCAGTCGGGGTGCCTGTTGTTTCCTTTTTGTATCTGCTATTAATACTATGTCATTTGCATATTTAATGTTGTTAACATTGTGGTCGCCAATAATAAATGCTTTTTTTTTTTTAAACATTTCACCCAAAGCAAGGCGGGCGTGCTTACTAGTACGCAAGGGGGTTACAGAGAGTGAAAGTAAGAGAAAATACTGTGTTTTAGGGGTGGGGGTGGATTGAGGAAAGGATAAAAAGAAGAACAGGGATCAAGGCATAAGAAGATGTCGATTGATATTATATTTAAATTTTTGAAAATTATAGTTATCAGGGAAGCAAATAAGAGTAAGGTAGTTCCACTGCTGGGAACTGCGAGAGAAGAAAGAAGAAGCGGTTACATTTAACAGTTTCAACAGTAAAATGGTGGGACCGAGGTGACAACCTAGTAGCACGCTTAAATTCATGCAGTCGGAGCAGATACCATGAAAATATTTATAGAAAAGACAGAGGGAAGCCATATTAAGTCTATGAGAAATTGTCTGGAATCGAGCTGTCAAGTCACGAACGATAACATTGCATATCCGTCCTTGGATTTTGTCGAGAACGGGGGCACCAGGCCATATACCCTTCTGATTCTCTCAGGATTGCTTTATTGTAAAGGTTGAATAAATCCCGTGAAAAGGAACATCTTTTTCTTCCGTGTCTTTTTATTTTTGTGTATTTATTGAATCCCTTTTCTATCCGTATGCAGATGGTTTTCTTCCAGTATAAGTTCGATATGAATTTAATATCCTTCCCAAATAAATCAAGCTTACTTAGTAGTTCGAATAGTTCTTTGTGACATACATCCCTTGTCAAACCCTTTTGCATAATCTATAAAACATGTTCTTTTGCATAATCTATAAAACATGTTCTTTTGCATAATCTATAAAACATGTTCTTTTGCATTTGCAATGGAGGTTTACGGCCATATCATGTTGAAACACCGGTTCTCGTATGATCACGGAAGTAAAATAACGTATAGCCTGGTCAGTACCTTGATGAGTGACCGTTTTGGAATTTCACGTGCCGTAAGCTTGGATGTGCGGGTGCTGATATGGATAACAGCTTAGAATTGGAAATCGTACAGCTGAGTTCCAATTCCAGTAGGGTTCGTTATATTCATCTTGCGCACAAATACACTTGAAAAAGTGATGAATCCACCTATTCTCCACTCAGCTCTGATTTGATTTGGTTTTACGGCATAATAACCTCAATGGGTTATTTAAAGCCGACAACATTTTTAGGATAGATTCGTATGAATAGAATATGTATTCTTTGGTTTAGATTGGTTTGGTTTATTTTGTTTACGGCATATCAACCTCAATGGGTTATTTAAAGCCGGCAACATTTTTAGGATAGATTCGTATGAATAGATTCTTTTGGTTTAGATTGGTTTGGTTTATTTTGTTTACGGTATATCAACCTTGGGTTTAAAGATTTTTAGGATAGATTCGTTGATTCTTTGGTTTAGATTGGTTTGATTTTTTTTACGGCATATCAACCTCAATGGGTTATTTAATGCCGACAACATTTTTAGGATAGATTCGTATGAATAGAATATGTATTCTTTGGTTTAGATTGGTTTGGTTTATTTTGTTTTACGGCATATTAACCTCAATGGGTTATTTAATGCCGACATTTTTTTATTGCTGGTAATATTTTGTTTTGTCAAAAATCTGTTTCTTGTATTATTTTTCCTTCAAAATTGTATTGCTGGTAATAATTTTTTCCAAAAAAAAATATTGCTGGTAATAGTTAACTATTTGCCCATAACTAGGACCCTAACATGTGCTACAACCCCGGGTCAGGGTGGAACACCAGCAATTAAGAGGTGGTTCCACGCTCTTCAAAACCTCCTGATCAGAGGCCTTGCTGCTGGATGTAGTTTATCGTCTTACCCAGGACGCGGATGTAGTTTAAAGTCTTACCCAGGACGACCACTCAACTCTGAGTTAATTATTGGAAGGAACTTGTATCAGCAAAAAGTATTATTATCTCCCAAAAAATTCAACAATCTAAAAATATTTTTTGTCTTGATAAAGGGTTGATAAGCTGTAAAGAACAAATCAGTCAAACATTTGTATTGCTCTTACTGGTGTCATTGTGAGCACAAACATCGCCTTCTTTGAGGTTTAATGAAAACGGACCAGATTTGTTGAATAATAAGCGTCGTGTCGACAGGAAGGTAGGAGGACTAATTTAATCATGTCGGTACTTGTATTTGATAGACACGAGTAGCATGAAAAATATTTTTGGGTCGTTAGGGGTGGGGTCATTTCTAAATTTCTTGAAGGGTGTCGAAAAGAAAATTACTGATCGGCTGTTTTCTTATTTGAAAAAAAATCTCTTGCGAAAATTGATGAAAACAAGTAAATGCTTGCTGCTAATTAATTACAAAAATACGACTTTCTCCAAATCGGATGGATGTATATTGTCAAAGGTTTTTTTTTTAATTGCTTGTTGGATGAAATACTTCATTTAATGGCATATAATTCTCACCATTAACATTTAATGTTCAAGATTTATATATAATAAAATGTATATATATGTTCAAGATGTATATATATAATGTTTAAAGTTTAACAAAGAAGACCTTTTAATCATTAGGAATGAATAATATAGTATTAGAAAAAAAGGTTTATTTTAAAATCGGACATTATTTTCTGAACAATCTAATAGCAAGGTAGAGTGCGCTCTCTAGCTCTGTGTGGCAAGCGGTTTAAGTAAAAGGAAACTCCAAACAGTGGAATAGGCAACAGGAAACCACTACACTTTATTTCCCAAGAATGTGTAGCTTATTCACAGATGGTAAAGAAAGATATGTGGAGAGTCATGATCTGAAGGAACATGACATTAAAAAAGTGTACATAGGTTTATTGTTTTATAAGTTTGTCTCTCATGCCATTGCTAGAGTAGTGAGTTCGATTTTTAAAGAGTGCTCCATTATTGTAATGACCCTGTGCCCAACTATGCAAAGTTCAGTAAATATCTACTGAGGTTATTTAGTTAATTAGATGTCAAAATTAAGTGAAAAGCAATTTACTTATTTGATATAAACATTCTAAACTTCGAATCCGTGCTTATGAACAGTTATCAAGACTTTGACCAAACTTTTTTTTAATTTAATTTTTGCTTATTCATGTATTTGAAAAATAAATAAATCGTGCCAAGAAGAATATTTACAAGATGCCCTCAAAGTTCTGAAACTCTTATAAAAGTTATATTTTTAGATATTTCCTTACTAATTGTTCACACAATACAAAGCCGAAGAGACACTGATGGCACATTGGATAAGGTTGCAAGTGAATAAAACAGCGGCTGGGGGTAAGAAGTGAATATTATGGGATATGATAAAAATGTAGTTTCAATATCAGGGATAGAGCTTATGTAAATATAAAAGTAGACATTGAGGTCAATACCCAGCGGCGACAGTTTCATGCTTAAAAGCAAACTTAGGCAATTATGGGCATTTATAGGGAAGATAACAGTTGACTATAGCAAACTACAGGCAATTATAGGAAAGATTACAGTTGACTCTAGACTTGAAGAGGTTAAGACTCTAGTGATCAGGTAAGCATCCTTTCGGGTGTCTGTTCCAGAAAGCAGTGACTCATGGGAATAAATCAATATAATACAACTTAGGCTTAGCTAAAATACTTAAAATATCCAACTTGATCCAAAATAAACGTTGAAAATAATTTACACCAGTTTGATTATGTTAGTCACTTTAACGTGTAACGTTCATATGAGCAAAAGGTAAAAGACTTGATTCCTGGGAACCCTAATTTAAGCATGATGAAAATATTCTGGTCTTAAAAGAAATGATGAGAATAGGATAGTTTACAACAAGAGACAAGTGAAAAGAATAACTAGTAACTTTACAAAAAGCCAACTTTCATTGACTTTATATGACGCAGGTGTAGCCAACAGATTTAAAAATTAAAATCAGGCACTAATAAAATAAGCACTGAAAATTATTTGCAACAGTTTGGTTATTCCCCCATTTTAACGTGTGACTTCTGTATGAGAAAAAAAGCTACTTGACCCTGTGAATCCCTTTTTAAATGTAGAGAAAGTATTCTTGTTTTGAAAGAAATGATGAAAAGTGGATAGTTTACAACAACGTAGAACAAGAAATATCGTGAGGCAATCGAAAGAAATAGTCAATGACCTTACTAAAAACTCTCACCAGATAACCAGGTCCCAGAGTGCATGGGATTAATTAGAAAAACGGCTTAATATTTTCTTAGGTTAATGCTAGACCACCTATTTTTTGGTGAGGAAACAAAATGGTTGTAGCTTTACCTGGAAATCTTCATTTATTTTGGAGAAAAAGTTTTCTTCATACAAAATACTCCCAATATTTTAAAAACAATTTAATTATTAAAATAACAGATACTTATTTAATAAAAATGCAATATTGTTTTTTAATATATTTTTTATATTTCATCGATTAATTTGCGAAATTGAACCAAACGTACAGTTTGTACATCTCGACAAAAATGTTAGCGATAACTTCAACAATACTAAATGCTGTAAGGATTTCTAGTTCGTCAAATAGGGCACCTTCGAATTTATATTTATTCTGGTCTTTACCTAATTCTGTTAAGAAGAAAAAAATTCAATTCTCTGGAAGAATGCAAAAAGCGACTAGATCGCTCCTCGCTCTTAACAGCACAACCGAGGACAAGGCATATAAGTATGTGCACAATGACTAAAGAAAGGAGAAAGGAAAACACTACCAGAGAATCACCAGTTAAAATCAAAGATATTTTTACATTGAGACTCAGCAACCATTCCTTCTGCTTAAAAAGGGAAGGCTGCTTAGACTTAATATAGAGTTTCGGGCACTTTCAAATGGTAAACCGCATTCCCTCTGCGGACTACTGTGACAAAATCTGTGATGAAAGAAGAAACACAAGTCGGATTATATATTGTGTTCTGCAGTCGCAGAACCGGAAGTATTAATAAGCGTATGGAAACTTTCATACGACTATTTACGACATTAACTGATATGTGTTGGCCTATCCTCGCCTCCAACATTTGATTAGTTCTGTCAATACTTTCACGAACGCACTGACATTTGAAATCCTAAATCACCAAATCAACAGAATGGTGGTGAGATGGCAGAATATCTTTAGGAACGTATTTCGACATAGGAAGGTTCAGAAGTGAAAACCTAAAACCTAAAACCTTTCCCCCATAGAAAAAAGGCACTGTACGAATATTTACCATCATCTCGTGAACGTTTGTACCTATCCGAGAGTTCGATAGGATTTTATGGTTTATTTAATGCATAGTAGACTTAAGGCGGAAGTGTTTAGGGAAAGAAACACCCGGGATAAATTAAAATGGCGCATTAACACAGAGAACAAAGGGAAAATCGCTTGTGTTTTTACCCTTTCAGCATTGATTTTACTTGGTGGCTTGAGGTGAAAGCTTTAGGTATGATAAAAATTTCCTGTCAATTGGACGACCATCGTGGAAGATTAATTGTTCCTTTGGTTTCAGTTTGTTGTCAAGATAATATAACGTATCAATAATGGCAGGGTGTTACTATGGGGAAAAAAACAAAACAAAAAACACCGTGTCAAATCCCAAAGAAGCAACGAGGAA